CAGACCTCACAATCTAAACTAAAACCTGATTGGCTAATAACTTGAAACTTTCCTAAACAGATAAAAGCAATGGAGAGCAAAAAAAGGAAGTCCAAATAAGGAAGGAACATAGGCTGTGAGCTGACATGCCTGTGAGCACGTCCAGCACAGATATCTTGGTTAAAGTGCGAGGACATAGAATGTACTATGTGCCTGTGCACGTGTCTTACAGCTACATAGGATAGGGCTTTTAGCAAAAAGGCAAGAAGGCTTTTGGAGAAAGTGTTTAAAACAAACTATTATTTCCAACACTTACGAATTTTTCTTAAACAAGAAAGGAAAGTTTGAAGAGGAACTCTTTTACTTCCCACATCCTTGCCTTTCTTTAATATTTTTTTTCACCTAGTTTTCACTTTTATTCTGTCCAGGGTAGTTCCTTGTGCTCTCAGTTCAATTTGGATGCTTTCTTATTTGGGCATATCATAACATCTGTAGATGGTTTTCCAAACTCGAGGGCTTGTAAACAATTCTGAGTCAGTTGTGGTGGCTCGTGACTATAATCTTTACAAAAAAATTTTTTTTTTGTTGAGATGGAGTTTCACTCTTCTTGCCCAGGCTGGAGTGCAATGGTGCCAGCTCACCACAACCTCCGCCTCCCGGGTTCAAACGATTCTCTTGCCTCAGCCTCCCAAGTAGCTGGGATTACAAGCATGCACCACCACTCCCTGCTAATTTTGTATTTTTAATGGAGACGGGGTTTCTCCATGTTGGTCAGGTTGGTCTTGAAGTCCTAACCTCAGGTGGTCCACCCACCTCGGCTTCCCAAAGTGCTTAGATTATAGGTGTGAGCCACTGTGCCCGTAAAAAAAAAAATATTTTTAAAAAATTAGCTGGGTGTGGTGGTGCGTGCATCTTCCCAAGACTCTCTAGGTCCCAGATACTCAGGAGGCTGAGGTGGGAGGATTATCTGAGCTGGGGAGGTTGAGGCTTCAGTGAGCTATGATTACACCACTGCATTCCAGCCCAGGTGATAGAGCAAGACCCTGTCTCAAAAGAAAGAAGAGAGAGAGAGAGAGAAGAAAGAAAGAAAATCAATTCTAGTATTTTAATAATTCTGGTGTTTCTTGAAGCAAATTGGTCCAATGACTAGATTCCTCCATCACAGTTAAATAATTTTTTCCTCGTCCTTATTTCTAATATCTGGGGTGGATTTCCACTGATAAAGAGAAAACTGGACAGACCCTAAAATTAACTGTGCCCCTGAAATTCTATTTTGTATCTAGGAAAAACTAAAATCTTTCAATGCTCTAGAGTTTCAGTTTAAGCAAGCTCCCAGCCAGTGACTATAAAGGGACAAATATAGAACAATGGCTGAGTGTGGTGGCTCACACCTGTAATCCCGGCACTTTGGGAAGCTGAGGTAGGCAGATCACGAGGTCAGAAGTTTGAGACCAGCCTGGCCAATATGGTGAAACCCCGTCTCTACTGAAAATACAAAAATTAGCCAGGCATGGTGGCGTGCACCTGTAGTCCCAGTTAGTCAGGAGGCTGAGGCAGAGGAATCCTTGAACTCAGGACAGGGAGGTTGCAGTCAACTGAGATCGCACCACTGCACTCTAGCCTGGGTGACAGAATGAGACTTTGTCAAAAAAAAAAAAAAAAACAGCAATTACCAGGACACTGCCCCACTGACAACATAAAAAATAATGTCGGGAGAACGATCCAAGATGCCCAATTGATAACAGCTCGGGATTGCAGCTCTCAGTCAAAGCGCAGAGAACTAGAGGATGCCACACTTTCAGACAAATTCTGGTTGCTCACGGAGCAGAAGATCCCCAGTGGAGGAACCACACAGGTCACCAGCGCGACTCTTGTGGCCGACGCAGTGGTTTCGCCAGCACCTCAGCGTGGCAGCTCTTGGAGCAGAGTAAACAGGGCTGGCTCCCCTTCTGACCGAGGTTTGGAGGACCCACACGGGCCCCCAGCACGACTCCTAAGACCGGCGCAGCAGCTGTGACGGCACCTCAGCACGGCAGCTCTCGGCACAGAGTAAACGAGACTGGTTCCCCTTCTGACCGAGGTTTGGAGTCCGGGCAAGGCAGAGTCACCCATTACGGACACAAGAAGAAAGCCAGACAGGAGAATCCTGGGCAGAAAAGCACCATCAGCCTTAACGCCGCCGTTCTGGCCCTGGGAACTAACAACTTGGACGTCCAATCAAGAGACCTAATCTGAAATTTGGTAATTTCAAAGACGACAGGAGGATAAATTTACAATGATGGGAAGAAACCAGCGTAAAAATGCTGAGAATACTCAAAATCAACGCCTCACCCTCTAAAGATGATCACAGTTCCACATCAACAATGGAACAAGGCTTGACGGAGAACGAGCACATCCCAATAACAGAATCACGCTTCAGGGAATGGATAATAAGAAACTTCTGTGAGTTAAAAGAACATGTTGTAGCCCAACGTAAAGAAACTAGAAACTTTGAAAAAAGGTTTGACGAAATCCTATTGAGAATAGACAACTTAGAGAGGAATATAAGTGAATTAATGGAACTGAAGAATACAATACAGGAACTCCGAGAAGTATGCACAGGTTTAAACACTCGAATTGTTCAAGCAGAAGAAAGGATAACAGAGGTCAAAGTCCAACTTAATGAAAGAAAACAAGAAGACAAGATTAGAGATAAAAGGATAAAAAGGATTGAGCAAAGTCTCCAAGAAATGTGGGACTATGTGAAAAGACCAAATTTACGTTTGATAGGTGTACCTGAATGTGACACAGAGAATGAATCCAAGCTAGAAAATACTTTTCAGGATATTATTCAGGAAAATTTTCCTGAACTAGCAAAGCAGGTCAATATTCAACCCCAGGTAACACAGAGAACACCACAAAGATATTCCTCAAGAAGAGCAACCCCAAGGCACATAATCATTACGTTCACCAGGGTTAAAACGAAGGAGAAAATACTAAGGGCAGCCAGAGAGAAAGGTCAGGTTACCCACAAAGGCAAGCCTATCAGACTTACAGCAGATCTCTCAGCAGAAACTCTACAAGCCAGAAGAGAGTGGGGGCCAATATTCAACATCCTCCAAGTACAGAACCTTCAGCCCATAATTTCATATCCAGCCAAACTAAGCTTCACAAGTGAAGGAAAAATAAAATCTTTTATGAACAAGCAAGTACTCAGAGATTTTATTACCACCAGGCCTGCTTTACAAGAGCTTCTGAAAGAGGCATTACACACAGAAAGAAACAACCAGTATTAGCCTTACTAAAAATATACCAAAAAGTAAAGAGCACCAACATAAAGAAGAATTTTCATCAATGAACGGATCAAACAGCCAGTTAACATCAAATGGCAGTAACCCTAAATTTAAATTGACTAAATCCCCCAATCAAAAGACACAGCCAAAACCCAACGGCATGTTACATCCAGACCTGTTTCACATGCAAGGATACACAAAGACTCAAAAAAAAGGAATGGAGAAAGATTTACCAACCAAATGGAAAGCATAAATAAATAAATAAAAAGCAGGAGTTGCAATTCTCATATCGGATAAAATAGATTTTAAAGCAACAAAGATATAGTGGTAAAAGGATCAATACAACAACAAGAGCCAACGATCCTAACACCCAGATACATAGAGACTTAGATTCAATGAGACAGAAAATTAATAAGGATATCAAGGACTCGAACTCAGATCTGGAACAAGTAAACTTAATAAATATTTATAGAGCTCTCCACTTCAAATACATAAAATATACATTCTTGTCAATAACACATCACACCTACTCATAGGTTTAAATGAAACATTGATTGGCCGTTATTAATACCCATTTTTTTTTTCAGAATAAAGCAATATTTCCATTCACCCTCCCTCTCTCTCTTCCTCTTTCTTTCTCTCCTTTACTCATTTTTTTTTTCTTTCCTTCTCTCAAAAAAAGAAATCAACTTGTAAATCTCTAGATCCAGGTTGGCAATGTTTCTCTCATTGCTTGAATTCCTTCCTTCCCTTCCCTTCCCTCCCTCCCTCCCTTCCTCCTTTCCTTCCTTCATCCCTTCCTTCCTCCCTCCCTTCCTCCTTCCCTCCCTTCCTGCCTTCCTCCCTTCCTCCTTCCCTCCCCAACAAAAAAGAAAAAAGAAAGTAATGTCATAAACCTATGGACACAAATTAGTTTTATGTCAAGGAGCCCCAACTCCAAAGTTCTCTTGTAAAGCAGGAGAGGGCCATTAATCCCGGAGCTCAGCCAGACACCCCCATCCATGGGCCAGGGTGAGCAGCCAAGTGCAGAGCTGTGGCAGCAGAAGACAGCCAGCCAGTGCTCTCCACAGCTCCAGCAAATATTTAACTAAATATTCATTCTAACTCTCCAACCAACTAAACGTGTGACCTTGGGCAAGTTGCTTAAGCTCCCATGTCTCAGTTTTCCTCACGTGTAAAATTAATAAAATCTAGGCCAAAAAGTTGTTATGGGAGTTACATAAATTTATACATATAAAACTCTCAGAATGATGCCAAGCAAATAACGAATAACATATAAGTGTTTGCTGGGATCACCGTTGTTAGCATCAGCTATTTTGATTACAATTTTTTAAAAATAGGCTTTTATCTAAGTTAACACAATTTAAAATTGGAGGTTCACACAATTCAGTCTCTTCCTTGTCTTTCTTAATTTATTCACAGATACTATTATTAATTATTATTGAGACGGGGTCTCATTATGTTGCCCAGGCTAGCCTTGAACTCCTGGGCTCAAGTGATCCTCCATCTCAGCCTCCTGAGTAGCTAGGACTATAGGTATGCACCACCAAACCAGGCTATTGATTCACAGATTTTTTTAAAGTCAATTCTCGAGGTTCCATTCCCCATGTGTTGTGGTATAGGGTGGCAGCTGGGAGCATGCAGATCTGAGGGCTTCAGGTTCTGCCACTGTGTGACCTGGGGCAAGGCACCTGGCCATTTGCTCCTCCCTTTTCTCCCATATGAAGTGGAAGGCTCAAGCCAGGTTACCTGTGGAATCGATTCAGCCCTCAGGCCAGGAGAACAGCAAACCTCCTTCCGCGCTGCATCCCTGTATCTCTCTTCCACTCCTGATTTCAAGCAAGGCTGAAAGCAGCCTATTTTCAAACTGCTCAACTCTCTTGAGAGAGGAAGAAAACCTGCCTTCAAACATAGCTCACTGTCTTTCCCCAAGATAAGCAACCCCCTTCCCAACACTCTCTGATTATCAAACATGTCAGCAGTATTCCAAGAATCCTGTATAAAATAAGCAAACTAGTCCTCGGGGAAGACCTGAGGGACTGCTTTGAACAAGGGAAATGAACCTTACTGCATAAATGGATACATCCTCATTAAGCCGCAGATGCCAGGAATCACTGGGATGCTGACCCCTGTGTGGGAGGTACGGCACCTCTGCAGGTGGCAGGGTCACCAAGGAGCATAATTCTCTACCCCCTGCAGAACACTTGCCTGGTATATCATTATATTCTCTGGGTGATGCCTGTAGAATTTTTTCTTTCTTTCCTTTAATCTCTCCTTCCAAAGTAGTCTCAAGCCCCTGCTATGCGCCAGAGACTGTGCTTACTGACAGTTACATAAGGAAGATTAAGACATGCTTCTTGCTTTCAAAAAATTCACACATCAGTAGGAGAAACTAAAATGTAAAGAATTCTATAACACAATGCCAGGCTAAATCTGGTTCCCCTGTTAACACTCTAATAGCACTTAGTACTTTCCTTTTCTATCACTTATCACAAGTTGGTAAATGCACTTGTATATTCCATCAATTAATGTCTTCCTTCTGCCAACCCCCCCCTCACAGTGTAGACTGTGACTCCTTGAGCTAATATATACTTAGTAATTATTATATACCAGACACGGTCTTAATGCCTTACATATATTAACTTTCAATCTTCACAACCACTTTAAGAAGAATATACTAATATTCTTATTTTACAAATGAGGAGACTGAAACAATAACGTGCCTGAGGTCACACACCTGGTAGGCGCCTACCAGGACTAAAACCTGAGCAGTCTGGCTTCAAATCTCTACTCTTATTTGCTAAGTTCTGTATTAAAGGGAAGATAACAAGACTCTTTTAAAGGTGATAGTAGGTGATACAGTCTAGAAATATTTCCTTCTAAAATTATTAAATTTCAATAATGTAGGTAAGTTTCCTTTGTCTGGAAAATCATTCATATAGAACACCTTAATCCTTACTATCAAATCCAAGTTAGGCTTTGTGTATACAAAATATAAAAAAGAACAGGAGATAAATGGTGGCACTTAGATCAGAAAAAAAAGAACATTTGCTGCAAAACAGTCTATGTGTACTATAAAATATTGTTATCTTAAAAGCAAAGGGCTATATATTGTCATTTCTCTGACTTGATCTAAATTTATAATTATGAAAGCCAAAAAAATTAATCAACTATTTCCTAAAGAAAGAGACCCACCTTCACTACTATAACCATCCAATTCATTAACCCATGAGCAGCAGGCATGTCTCTGGTAGACTCCTGTTATTTCATCAATTAAAAAAACAAAATGTCTATTAAAAATATAAATGAGATTGACTGTACGTGATGGCTCATGCCTGTAATCCCAGCACTTTGGGAAGCTGAGGCAGGTGGATCACTTGAGGTCAGGAGTTTGAGACCAACCTGGCCAACATGGTGAAATGCTGTCTCTACTAAGTACACAAAAATTAGCCGGGTGTGGTGGTGGGCACCTGTAATCCCAGTTACTCAAGAGACTGAGGCAAGAGAATCGCTTGAACCTGTAAGGCAGAGGTTGCAGTGATCCGATATTGTGCCTGTGCACTCCAGCCTGGGCAACAGAGCGAGACTCTGGCTCCAATAATAATAATAATAATAATATTTTTTAATGAGGCTCCTTTATGTATCTGTGTAAAGACATATTAGATGTCTAAGCTGTTTAATTGTTCTGTGCCTTTTAAAAGCATAACATGAAGACTTTTTGTCTTGATGTGTTAAATTCTTGTTTGTGGTTTAAAGCATGACATCACACCAATTAGGTTTCAACCCTAGCTCTCTTACTGATTATCTACATAGATGTGGACTGTTGGTCCAGTTTAGTTAACTGCAAAATTGGAAGACTGAATTAAATGATTTATAAGATTCTTTTCCTCCCCTACCATTTTGAAATTTGAAAATTTTGTCTGTTTATATCTTTGTATGATGCTTTATTTCCATTCAATAGTGTTAAAAATATTCATGTTTGACTTCAATTTAAATTCTTTCCATGGGCATTTACTGTAATAAAAACCATTGAATTCACTTAGAAAATAAATTTGGAGTTAGGCTCAGCATTCAACAAAGGAGTCTGGTTCCCAGAGCATCAACACACAGGATAGGGACATCTGCTGTAGAAATTGCTGGTGTTTACAAATACCAGTGTTCCGCTTTACTTCTGGGCACATGGTTGGACTACATCTTGCAATTAGTTGAGACCATGTGTCTGAATTTCAGCCAATGGAATACGAACCTACATGGCATGTGCCACATCTATGCCTGAAATGTCAAAACTGTCCTTCATGCAGTCCTTGTTCTCCTTTCCTACCCACTAGCTGAGTAGACAGAATCTGAAAAATGGAGAGAAGAGCAGAAACACAAGACAAAAGGAGCCTGGGCTCCTGAATGACCCCATGGAGCAGAATCCTTCTGCAGGCCTTTACTGGATTGCCATGTGAGAGAAAAGGATGAGATTGTGTTAAATGTTTCAATTTGAGGCACCAGCCTATGTTTATTGTGTTAAAGTACTGAATTTGAGTCACTAGCCTATTCTGACCTTTTAGATTCTTATCCAGGTGAAGCTGGGTTACAATAAGCATTTGGTTCAATCTTGAAGGAAGGCAATCTCACAAAATGGCTAGTCTGAGAAGTGCCACATTTGTGGTGGGCATCTTGGAGCTCTCAGCCCTGTTAATCCTGTGACACTACTGTCTAATACCCTATTCTGTCTGTCATTATACATAGATTACCCTAGTTTTTTTGTCTTTTGTTTTTTGTTTTTTTGAGATGGAGTCTTGCTCTGTCACCCAGGTTGGAGTACAGTGGTGCAATCTCGGCTCACTGCAACCTCAGCCTCCTGGGTTCAAGCAATTCTCCTGCCTCAGCCTCCCAAGTAGCTGAGATCACAGGCACCCACCACGCCAGCCTAATTTTTGTTAGTAGAGAAGGGGTTTCACCACGTTGGCAAAGCTGTTCTCAAACTCCTGACCTCAGCTGATCCACCCACCTCGACCTCCCAAAGTGCTGGGATTACAGGAATGAGCCTCCGTGCCTGGCCAGATCACCCTAGTTTTGCAATACACTTGCTGCACTTCCAGTGCCTCTCTATAGCACTTCACATTCTCCTCTTCCTACCTAAGTTCTTTCTCAGTTTCCCTAATACTCTATTATCCAAATTTCCTCTCCAGTAAATGCAGCTTAGCTGTTCTTCATTCATTTTTTTTTATTTGCTATCCTTTACAACATTACTTTTAAATCATTTTGCATGATTTCTTCCCCCCCTTTTTTTTCTTTTTTTAAGAGATATGGTCTCACTATGTCACTCAGGCTGGAGTGTAGTGGCAAATTCATGACTCACTGCAGCCTTGACTTCCTGGGCTCAAGCAATTCTTCACCCTTAGTTTTCCAAGTACTTGGGACCACAGGTGCACACCATCATGCCCAGCTATTGTTTAAAAAATTTTTGTAGAAATGAGATCTCACTATGTCGCCTAGCTGACCTCAATCTATCCTCTCACCTTGGCCTCCCAAAGTGCTGGAAATATAGGCATGAAGCATCACACCTGGCAGCTTCACTGTGTGTGTGTGTGTGTGTGTGTGTGTGTGTGTGTGTGTGTGTCTAGACAGGTCTCTGTTGCCCAGGCTGGAGGGCAGTGATGCAATCTTGGCTCACTGTAACCTCCAATTCCTGAGTTCAAGCAGCCTCCAACCTCAGCTTCCCAAGTAGCTGGGAGTACAGCCACATACCACCACACTCAGCTAATTTTTGTATTTTTTGGTAGAGATGGGGTCACTGTGTTGGCCAGGCTAGTCTCAAACTCCTGACCTTAAGTGATCCAAGCACTGGGCCACTCAAAGTACTGGGATTACAGCCATGAGCCACTGCACCAGGCCAACTTCAGGTATTTTCAAGCTCTGTTACTAGGTACATATGCGTTTAAGATTGTTATACCCTCTTGATGAAATGAACCCTTTATTTTACAAAATGACGTTCATTATTCCTGGTAATATTCTTTGTTCTGAAATTTATTTGCCTGGGTGCTCCACTACTTACAAACTCCTTAAAAACAATGAGCTAGGACAATTACAGGGCTTACCTCATTTGTCTCTTATCTCTCAGGAATAATTGTCTTTTGTTGTTTGTTGCCTAAGTGTCTTTAAAATATTATTTCATATACTTTCAGCAGTCTTTGGTTGTTTCAGTCAGGAGAATAAATCTGGCACTTATTATGTCATCTTGACATGAAGGTGAAGTCACTAAGTGCATCATCTCATTTGATCCTCATTGGAATCCTATAAGGTAAGTATTATTCTTTTTAGTGAAGAAAAAAGTGAAGTCTCAGTGTGACTAACTGGTCTACATTTACACAACTAGCAAAATCAGTTGAAATAAATGGATCAGATAATGATTTGGGTGATAGACACAACCATTTCCTGAAAGTAAAATAAGACTCAGGGTGTAAGATATTTTAATAATTTGTAAATTTACTTAATGTAATAAATTTCACAATGATAAAAAGACCGAAATGCATTTAAGTTTGCATGTAATGATTTGCTTTAATGGACAATAGTGCAGTACATAAAATGAAGTCTGTCTCAGAAAATCTAGGCTAAAAATTCAAAGTACTTGATGGGAGAAATGATGAAATCTTACAGCCAGTGAGACTGAACAAAGAATAAAAGCTAACAACATTTATTTCTGATAGGAATTCGACCTGTTGCCATAGTTTTAAAATATCCTTAAAGCCAGCAATCCTGAAGCAAATATTTTTAGTATTCGTGGGAGGGTTTAAAAGAAACAAACAACAGAACTATGTTTTTTTAACCTTCTATTTTCTTTTGCCCATTTGAATGAAATGGAAGTAAATAATCCTGAGTGGCTTGGGAGGGGCCACCCAAAAATGATTCAAT